GGGGGGTGCAGGGTATTTTTCCCCATATTATAAACACAATTATGCCATCTGTGTGATAGCAATCATTTATTTTTTCAAAATATAGTTCAACAATGTTTATGTGCTGTACCTTACAGAACTTTTCCATGAAACATTGCAGGCAAAGTTTTAAGAACATAAAATGCCACACCGAAATATATCGTGAAAAATTACCAGATGTTTAGTCTGGAAAGTAGACTTTGAACGCCAATCAAACCCCCAGACATAGCAGTGGGTGGTTGGCGGGTGCTCTGGTGTGGTTTGCTCCTTCTTTCCTCTTAAACATCTATCGTCCTTATCTCTCCTCCTTCTGTTTTACGTTTGTTGTTACTCTCTTGTAACACCTCTACTCTTCGGCACTTATATGACCTTATTGTGTTGCAAGTGCCGTAAAACTCTTTACTAAACTAAAAACTAAAACTAGACATAGCAGGGGCTACTGTCAATTTGAAAAAGTAAAAATAAGAAACAATTTTTTAAAAAGAAAGTAATGCTTAAAATGGTATCGCCACCTCTACGCCACCCTGACACAGACGCAAAACACTGACACAATAGAAGCACTCATTACAGACAGACTGACAGACAGACAGACAGACAGACAGACAGACAGACAGACAGACAGACAGACAGACAGACAGACAAATAGTCAGACCGACAGACATACAGACAGACCGACAGACAGGCAAACAGACAGACAGACAGGCAGACAGACAGACAGACAATTCAACAGAGGAACATAACAGAAGTCCCATCCCCAAAAGGAAAAAAAAAAGAAATTCATACGGAGATCACACCATAAAATAGCCTCGAAACCTGAAACCACGTACAATTATAACATTATGCATTTCGGAGTGCACAATTCAAGCAGGCGGGAAATATTTTAAATCACAAAAGAATGAACAATGAAAACGCTACTCACGTATGCAGATGTGAAATCGAACACAACCAGATGGCCTTCTTAGGGGAAGGGGTTTTTTTTTCTTTCTTTCGTCTTTTTCTTTTCTCGCCCGACTTATATAACAGCAACCTGCTCTGACCTCTTTCAGACCATATTATAATAGCAACAACCTTTCCTGGCCTCTTTCATACCATTTAGCCTCACGTATCTTTCCTCAAACAGCCCTCGTCACCGTCGAGTTATGCCTACAGCCGCCCTACAGCCGGAGTTTGCTTAGGCTCATAATCTGTGGGTAAGTATACATTCCTCGCCCGGCACTCTTTCTCCGGAGACATTTGCCCGGTTGTCTTCCAAATTGCGTCCCGCCCGCACGTTTGAAAGACGAGAGAGACACACAGAGAGATGTAGAGAGAGAGAGAGAGAGGGCGGGGGGAGGGAGAGAGGGGGGGAGAGGCAGAG